ACTCTCTTCTTTTTCTTCTTGCCTTTTCCCTTCCCTTGTTCTAGTCGGGCAGCTCTCAATTTGTTTACCGAAGCTCTCTTCAATCTCCCCCGAACTTCCCCCAGCTTTCCCCTGCGTTTTTCTCCTCTAGTCGCTCCTCCCTCTGTTTTTCTTTGCTTTCTCTTTCTTTTCCTTTGCTTAAACGAAGCCCCCCTGTTTTTGTTTTTTTCCTTTTGCTCTGTTTTTTCGTTTCTTTCTTCTCCAGCTCCAACCCGAAGCCTCTCCCTTCACTTTTCTTCTTGCTTAGCTCCTCTGTTTTTCCTCCGTCGGCTATTCCTTTTCCAGATTTCCTATGTTTTCCTTACTCTTTCTTTTCTTTGTCCGTAGTCTTTTCTCACTTAGCTCCCCGCGGCCGTAGCCTTCTCGGCTTTTTCCTTTCCTTCCTCTCTTCTTTCGTACCTCTCCCCTCTTTTCTTAGGCCTCCAGGTGTCTCAAACACCTACCCCTCCCTAAACACTTGTCCTACAATTCCTTAACCACTTGTCTAATGCTTATTTGCACACTTGTTCAACATGCAATTGACACACTTGTTTAATATGCTAATTTTTAAAATTACCTTGCAAAATGTCTTAGCAAGAAAAATCAAATTTTAAAAGATAAAATGGATCTTTATTCAGGATTTTTCTAAAATTTAGTGTAAAATTGCTCTAAAAAGAAAATGATGAATTTTAATGTATTAAAAATAAGAATGAACACCAATTATTATTTGCAACCTTAAATTAATTAAAAATAATAAATATGAAACAAGAATAAAAAGACTAAAAAGTCAAAATTGAATGAATAAACTAATTAAAATTTTAAAATTGAATCAATGAAATTTTTGGTGTCTACAGTTTCACCTTCTAATGATACTAAGGTGGTATTTCGATTTATTAAGAAGAACATTTTTAGTAAATTCGGCATCCTGAGAGCCATAATAAGTAATGAAGGAAAGTAGTTTTATAATAAACAATTTGACTCCTTATTGTTTAAATATGGTTGTAGGCACAAGACATCACTCCCATACCATTTTCAAGCAAATATGGACAAGCGGAGTTAGCAAATCAGGAGATCAATCTCATCTTGGAGAAAACGATGAACAAATCAATAAAAGATTGGGTAAGAAAACTTGATGATGTACTTTGGACTTATCGAACGGCATTTAATACGCTTTTGGGGATGTCACCGTATCAATTAGTTTATGAAAAAAACTAGTCATTTACTTGTGGAGATTGAACATAAGGCATATTGGACTATTAAAGCAATTAGGTCCGTTTGGATTAGCTGTTTTTTGGGTTGTTTTTCAAAAACAACACTGTAGCATTTTGTTTTTCAAATACAAATCCGTTTGGATTAGTTGTTTTTGGAGTTGTTTTTCAAAAACTATATGAAAAACTTTTACTGTAGATGTTTTATGGATTATTTTTAGATGTATTTTTAAAACATATTTTCGATCATTTTTATAATTTATAATTTTTTTATTTTTATAACAATATACATTTATAAACATTTATAAATAAATATATTTATATATTTATATAAAAATAAATAAATGTATTATATTATATATAATACATAATATAAATATATTTATAAATGTATATTATTATAAAGAGTAAATCTTTCCTACACTGACGGTGTATACACTATCAGCGTTAGATTCATGACATGTGTGCAAAAATTAAATTTTAAACTCAAATTTTGCATAGTTGTCATTCATCTAACGCTGATAGTGTATACACTGTCAGTGTAGGAAAGATTAATCCTATTATAAATGAATATTATATAAATGTATAAATGTATAAATGTATAAATTATAATTTTTATATTTTTATATTTATATACATTTATGCATTTATAATACATTTATAAATAAATATATTTATATAAAAATATATAAATGTATTATATTATATATAATACATAATATAAATATATTTATAAATGTATAAATGTGTATTATTATAAATGTATAAATTATAAATGTGCATTATAATTTATATTTTTTATATTTTTATATTTTATATTTATATACATTTATGCATTTATAATACATTTATAAATAAATATATTTTCATATTTATAAATAAATATATAAATGTATTATATTATATATAATACATAATATAAATAAATTTATAAATGTATAAATGTATATTATTATAAATGTGTATAAATTATAAATGAATATTATATAAATGTATAAATTAATATATTATAAATATATATTAATATTATGTATAAATGTATTAATATAATAAATATAAATGTATAAATATATTAATATTATGTATAAATATATAATAAATATTATGTATATTAATATAAATGTATAAATGTATTATATTATATATAATACATAATATAAATGTATATTATAAATATACATAAATATATATATTATGTATAAATGTACATTTATATAAATGTATAATATATATAATATATATTATGTATATATTAAATATATAATATATAATATTTATATAAATGTATAATTACATATTTATATTATATATAATTTATAATATTTATATAAATATATTATAAATATATAAAAATATATTTTATATAAAATAAAATATTTATAATATGTATAAATAAATATATTTAAATTAATATAATATAATATATCTTATACATAATTGAGATATACAAATTGAAATAAACATATTAAATATGTATTTGGAGTTGTTTTTGAGTATTGTTTGGATATGGTGTTTTTGGAGTTGTTTTTGAAATACACATTTACTGTAGCATTTGGAATGTGAAAAACAGTTTTTCAAAAAAGACCCAAAAACAAGGAATCCAAACGGACGCATAGATTTTAATCTTGCAGGTAGAAGAAGATTACTTCAGTTGAGCGAATTAGAGGAACACCAACTACATACTTATGAGAATGTCAAAATTTATAAAGATAAGGTCAAATATTGGCATGATAATTATACTATCCCTAAACAATTTGAGGTAGGGCAAAAAGCGCTTTTATACAACTCACGCCTTAAATTGTTTTCAGGAAAACTTAAGTCGAGATGGTCGGGGCCATTTGAAGTCATTCAAATCTTTCCTTATGGAATAGTGGAGGTGATCAATGCAAGAAATGAGCGGTTCAAGGTCAATAGATAAAGATCAAAACCCTACTTAACGGGTAAAATCATTCCCAAGGGACTTATATGTCCTTTGCGTCATTCTTCTTCAACCTACGAAGTCGATGTTTTTGAGTCGAGCCAACAACTATAAACAAAAGTGTTAATTGGGAAGCAACCCAATGTTATCGTTATATATATTAATTTGGTGTGATTTTATGTTTAACATATATATTTAAGTTATTTATTGTTTTTGTTTTGTAGGAATTTAAAAGCAAAGATGATCATTTGAGGTGAAAAAGGCGAAGTTTGATCAACATTTGAGCAAATGTTGTTTTTGATTCTTTAAAAAGGGGTAAAATGCATGTTTTAATCATTTTACATATTCGTGCATTGATAATTTCGGTAAAAAAATGATCTATGATGCATTTTGACTAATTGGGGTAACATGTGTAATTTTTGAAAAGTTGCAAAATTTTGCAGAAAAACTGTACAAATTGAAAATGCACCTTGAACACGCGACCCTGAGGTCACGTTTTCAAGACTCACGTATTCAATTATGCGAGTTTAACACAGTATATGCGGGTACCAGAAAAATGTGACTTCAATTCGTGTATTTAAGTATTCACAAATCCTACACATTCAGGCATTATTCCGAAAAGGTTCCCAGCCAAACTTTGACTAATTAACTAAAACTCAAACAAACAAGAAAATGGAAACCAAAACCAACTTGTTTTGATGTTACCACAAATTATCAAAAAAAAATCCAAAAAAATAATGTTTAGGATTAATCTTTCCTACACTGTTAGCATTGGATGAATGATAACTATGTAAAATTTGAATTTGAAATTCAACTTTTGCACACATGCTATAAATCAAAAGGTGATAGTGTATATACTGTCAGTGTATATAAGATTTACTCTAATATTTAATTGGCAAAAATTAAATTTTGATGTTACCTTCATAAGCTCTATATCTATCTGGAAAATCTGGAATGGTAGGGAGAGAGGAAATAGCGATCTGGGAGAGTAAGGATGAGAGAATGTACGGTGATGACAAAGGTAGGCAACATAGCACCGGCGGAGGTGGAGGCACAAGTCAACACAAAGAGGGGAAGGAAGAGACTGATAGAAACTAATTGGAACCCCATAATTTCAACCCAAGTTCCGCAAAGGGCAATGAGTGGAGCATGGAGGGGTGAAGGCGGCAGCAAAAGTTATAGATAGAGGCGGCGTAATTGGAGGAGGCAGCAGCTGCGAAGAATGCTCCAATAGAGCTTTAGGGTTTGTTTGGGTAGCGTATTATTTGAAATATTATTTGAAATAATTACTATAGTATTTTTTGTGATGTGATGTATGTGAGATAAAAAGATAGTTAAAAATATAAAAAAGATGGATTGAAAAATGTGTTTATGATACAAGCGAAATATTATTTTAAAAAAATGAGATATTCAAACAAAGCCATGGTGATGGATAATTGGAAGGGAAGGAGAGAGGTTTGTGTTTTTTACATCAATTTTATAGTTGACCCGTTTTTGAGTTTTTACTCATATAAAACCTGCGTGTCAACCCGATCTAGGAGTTTAATCATGGAATTGGAATTAGAATTCTCTTGGTCCGGTAAAGAATTGAGATTGTGGAATTGGAACCTCTTGGAATTAGAATTCATTGCTAATTCTATGGAAAAGGCAGTATCCAAACACAAGAATTAGAATTGGGGTTCCAATTCCAATCCTAAACCCCAATTCTATGGGTACCAAACGCACCCTAAGCTGTTTTATCCTATATCTGGTGTAAGAAAATCCCATGTCCAACGCGGTTAGGTTGGAAACAAAAATGAAATAGGATCAAGGAAGGTGACCAAAGAAATACATACATTAATATAGGTGACTAAAACATTTCTTTATTGAGAGGCAAATGCTACATGGTAAATAAAAACTAAAAAAACAGCACGAGGTCCGCGAGAGACACAAACGAGTCCCTTTAACAAATTGATCCCTTAATCCTCAATCATACGAAACTGAATCTGCCATATCAGGTCATGACCTCCACTAATATTTATTATTATGATCTATCATATTTATTTGGTAATTGTTGTTCAGTCATTTACAGCAACATCACTGGTTTTATTAATTTGCATTCAAGCTTTCTGAAGTGTTGCTCGCCTTAAACCTGATGCAAGACTATTCACGAGTTCTTTCATCGACAGGTTGAATTCTCTCTTCATCTGCATGCAAAAGATTGATGCAGGTGTTAAACATACAACAAAAATAAATAAATAGACAAGTTGTTAAGACATTGGCATGATAGCAAAGACTTAATCAACATAAGAGTTAATGATTATTGAAGTGTTTTAACTGCTTCTGTAAGACAGTCGTTAATATGCCTGAATCATACTTAATTTATATACGGATACTTATATTCATTGCATCTTTATATTATAAACTTGCCCAAATTAACTATATTTTTTCGAAAAAATTAATACTTGAGAACTCTCTTAACATGCCACATTATCTAGGGAGTCTCTTGGTCCAAACTATGATTATTAATCCAAATAACTGATGGTCTTTGGCTAACATGCCACATTCTCTAGGGAGTAGTAAGTTGATGTTTATGAAAAGTACAAAATATCATTCCGGTTCATGCATCTGAGGCGGTGAAAAAGTGACTTTCATCTCTAACAATATATTAACTCCTGTTCAGGCCCTTGGTCACTAATCCTACATGTGCGAATATCATTTGAAAATAGCACACAAAAACCTCACATAGTTACTAAGCTATTTTTTACCATAAGTTTTTTGAACTATTTGGATTCCAAATTGTCAAATGAACTTTTATCATTTCGTCAATTTTACGACCAATTTGAGGCCAAAAAAAAAAAGCCCTACACGAACTATAGTTGAATTTCATGTTATGACTGGAAAGCACTACAGCAAATTCATGCAAGGCATGTTTAACTTTTTTCCTTCAGCTGCAACTTAGAAGTACCAAAAAATAAAGTTTGATTTTGCACGCATTAGAGTATACTAGTCCATTTGAGACTCTAAATATTCGCACCTTCAAAACCTTGACATGAGAATAATTCATGATATTAAAATAGAAAAAAAAAACTTGCTATGAGATTAGTATAGTTTTCCCCTGAAAAATAGAACTACCAAGGTAATTGCGTTTTCATGGTACTCACCTCAGTAATAATGGTAATATCTAGAGCCAAACTTCCAAATGGTGCAACATTTGTGTTGATAACATCCAGATTGAGTTTATCCATCTCTGAAAGTATTTCAACTAATACTCCTCTATGCTTCTCACACAGTATTCTCACAAGAACATGCTTATCACACATTTTAGCCTCAATTTCAGGAAGCGGTTGCTCATTGCAGCAACCCCCCTGCTCATCTGAGGGCTCGCCCTCGTCTTCAAGCAAGAGCTGAGATTTCTTGACAAGTACCAAAGATTCCATGGTCTGCATCGTAGCTTGCTCCTCGAGCTCCTTTTCTCGCTGCTGAAGATGTTTCAAGTACTTGATTGTATCACCAAGAACTGAAGTTTTATCCATCTGCAACCAAAACAAAATGATCCATGTTTATTTTTCCAGTCAAGACGTTGATGCCTAAACAATTAGTCATGAAATGTGTGATCTAAAATCCCAGTTTCCTGTTCTTCCGATGCTAGTTTCTCAAAGAAACAACTACCATTTTCATCCCCTCTCATTTAAGATGGAACTATCAAATTTATGTTGCTTTTTCTGATACAAATTTAGTCCTTTATGTGTTCACTTTCAATAAACTGTTTGAATTTGACAAGAATCAACAAAGTAATTGGAAATTTTGTAAAATTTTCTCTAGTTAATTAGTCAAAGTTGGAAAGCAAATGGGACTCAATTAACTTTTTGTTGAAAAACTTTTGGAATGGATTGCAATACCCAAGGACTTAGTTAATTTTCTTGGTAACATATATCATGTTCCAAGTTTGTCCATATCCCAAATAATTGGAAAATAAATAAATAAAAAATAATCTTCTATATACCGACAATATCTATATAAACATGATTAGATGCAAGTTACATATAGAAAATTTAAATTTTAAATTAAAAAATTAATTTTCATGCATCCATTGCCAACAGTGTGCATAAATGTTTAATCCAATAGATAAGTTATCATTTTAAACAATAAAGCCCAAACATATTTGCAAATAACACAAAAATAAAGAAAATGAAGACTATAATGAAGCTAATGTTGAGAAAGGAAATGGGGCCTTTTCAGTCCCAATTCTATCCAGTTATGTAAACTATAGAATTTTGGCGTAAACTGATACAATTTTAGTGTAAACATGAATTATAATTGAATTGGTGCAAAACTCATGGTTACACCAAAAATATATAAGTTTATACCGAAATTGTGCCAGTTTACAATAGCGGGATGGAACCTCATCTGGAAAGGCCCTAGATCCATTGAGAAATATGATCAGTTTACTTTCTTCAGGCCGGGAACTATTGCTGAAAGAGCTACAAATTGTTGGCTTAGCTGCTCACGGCGCTTTCTCTCGGCAATTATATGGTCATAAGTTTGGGAAGGTGGTCTCGTACGACCACTAGTCTTCTTCGTTGTATGTACCCCTTTCACTGCTTCTACAAGACTCGTAAATGAAGCCCTGGAAATCAACGCTTCAGATACTAAATCATCGCCTGTGTTTGTTCCCATGATCAACTGTTGACGGTTCCTTTCTGGGACCACGTTTGAGTTCCCAAATGTGCAAATTACTTGCTCATGGCATGAATTGGTGGCTTGAAGAGTCGACGAGTTGTTAAGATAATTGTTTGCCTTGTGGTGTTTAGATGGTCTTTCGACCACATTTTGGGGAGGTTCCATAGTAGAAGATCCACACAAGCTGGTAGTGGAATTGTTTCTTGGAATCTGCCCAGAGGAAAGTGAGTTGCACTGTGGAGATAAAGAGCTAGGGAAGTACTGTTCTTCTCCGAGTGCAGCAGACAATTCTTCATCAAAGAAATCTGTGATATCATATTGGTCGCTGACAAATGGATCCTCCATTCCCTCCTGCAGCACATAAATAGTACTATACTTCAGCAGTCTTTATCTCCTTAAAACCAGAATATGATGGGAATATGTTTTTTCCTAGCCCATTTATATATAAAAAATAATATTTTCACAAAAAAAAAACTAAAAATAAAAAAAACCATATGCTTGCTCCTTGGATAGCGTTAGATTTGATGGAAACTATAGATTTAAGAAATCGTATGCCTAGTTCTGTTGACAGCTTAAGAACAGGATTATCACATCATGGTAAAGATCTATCTTCATGATAAGAAATGATTGTTCTTATTACCAGTTCAGAGAACCATGAAGCCTCAGCTGTATCCTCCATATAATATCAAGTCTGGCTGAAATTTCTGCAGAAGGGCCATTCGTAGAAAACATGGAAAAATTTTCATACCTAAAGAAGAAACTTAAAAGAAGAAGAAGAAAGAAGAACTTACCTCTGCGAAGGATTGGAAAGCCTCCCTTGTATGAGATAGAATAATTGTTTGTCCCTTTATATAAAGTTGGAGCATTGTCCAACACAATAATTAGACTTTTCTGTATCAAAATTCTAGAACATGAATTTCTGGAGATTGATATCTGCCCTTCAAAATAAACCTAAGGCCGTCTAGGATACAAAAACTTGGGATCTCTGTAGAGTGCAGAAGGTCAAGAATGGAGGGCAGTTATCATTCTTCACATGATTTTTATAGGTTTTCTCACGGATTCACGAGGCATGCAGTTGGGTAAAATGCAATAGAAAATTGAAGAATCAATCAAACCTCTTGTCTTCATCTCTTTGTGGGGTTAATTTGGGACACTATGTTTCGAAAAAAAAAGAAGCAATAATTTGAGTTTGTAATCAATTGTTCTACACACGAGGCCGCCTTGCAAAATCATTGTTGGCGTATGTTGATTGTTGACAGGCACAAAACTTTTACAGGGGAGCCAAAATTCGTACAGGCGTATATTTCTTTTTTTTTTTTTTTTTTTTTTTTTAAGGAAATATGATTTTATTCATCAAGAAAGCAAACCAATCACAAGTTCTGCTCACAAACGCTTACTTCTCCGAAATGAAGGTACCCCTAACCTATCTAATCTGACCCCCCACGAGCCAATGCCGGAAGAGCGTGGAAATTGTCGTAGACCTTAATATGCTGTTCAGGATGAGAGACGTCTATTTTGGACAAAACATCCGCCACGGTGTTAACCTCCCTGTAACAATGCGAGATTTGAGCCGAATCATCCACTAGCTGCCAAATTTGCCTGGCCTCTCGACGGATCCGCCATGGACACTAGAACCGCCGCTTCAGAATCCCAACTACGACCAACGAATCCGATTGGAGATTTAGATTACTATAGCCCCAGTGGATACACAATTGAAACCCAGTTAGCAGGGCCCGAACCTCCGGTACAGGCGTATATTTCTTAGAGCAATATATTATAAAATTTTGTGGGGGCAAATTCTAATTTGTTAATCGATTTTATCAAAAAGTTTCAATATCTCTTGTGAGAATGTTTTGGTTTTTTTGATCTTGGGGGTGGCTACCTTCTCCAAGCATTCCTAGGTTCATTGTCAAAATTCTCGATATTAGTTTACTAAACTGTTTCTTTACCTCCCATTGTAGTTATCGACAGTAAAAGGTTTGATCATACTATACCTCCGGAGTTTAGTTCAGGGCGTAATTATATTTTACGGACCCTAAATGTGAGAACTCGGAAAATTATGTGCATATTTCGAATTTAATTCATTATATTTGACTTGTTATTAGAAATATTATATATAATAAATAAATGGTTAAATTAAATGCATAATTGAATTCCTATAAAATTAAAAATTTAGAAAAAAATAATAATAAACAAAATAATAGAATGGTGTAGGAAATTTTAGAAATCAAATAAACATATGATAGGCATATTGTAAATTGTGACAATTGAATTTATTATATAATTGAATAAGTACATGTCCAGTTAATTTCTTTAAAAACGAATGTATGAAAATTTACTAGATTAATGTAAGCAAATTTTTCCAGAGAAATACAAACAAGGTTAAAAAACGAAATTACCCTCGGAACCTAAATGAATAACCATGCAGGCCAAGCAAGATAAGTTATTAGCAATTTTGACAATAGGAACCGAGGGGAAAAACAAACAATGGGAGAATCTGGAACTGAGTGGAAGTAAGGCTAAACAAAGCCTGGGCGGTGATCAAATAATTGCCAAAATAATTGGGCGGTGATCAAAGATGAACCAAAGGAAGGCAGCTGCCAATGAGCTACTAAGCCTAAACGGTGGAACGAGGAAGTAAATAGGAGTTGGTTTGGGCGGTGGAACAATTGCTGAGTCAGGAGTAACCGAGAGCAAGAGGAATTAGGTGGCATTGCTGTTCTTTCTTTCATTCAAGCTATATAAACAACCGAGAGGAAAAGAAGAGAACTACCTGCTTAAATTTGGGCTGTGGCTAAGGGCAAAGAAAACTCCAATTACTCTTCTTACTAACCGAACACTAAGAGCAAAACTGAGAGAGACTAAGCTACATTTCGTTCATCTCAATACACGACCGAGAGGGAGGAAAGAAAATATTTTTGGTTCCTCTTTGTTCAGCTTGCAACCGAGAGAGAGAGAGGGAGAGAGAGTTAGACATTTGCTAGCTTCATTTCTCCAGCTTGCAACCTCAGAACCGTGAGCCAAAAGTGAGAGAGAGGAAAAAGGGAGAGAAATCCTGCGGTTTCATCATCTATCAGCTTTAACTAAGTGAGAAGTGGAGTAGATAGAAGGAGAGGAAGTAACGGGAGCTGTTAGAAGGAGTCAGAGCAGAGGACCTAAAGAGTAGCTGCAATTTACTGATTCTAGGTGGAAAGGAAGGTAAACATTCTGCAATCTTCTCTCGTACAGCTAATATACATAGAGCTTAAGCTGTATGTTGGAGTTTAGCAAAGAAAATGAATTCTTAACTAAGGTAAAATTCTGTTTAGAAGAAGATGAAACTGTCGGACAGAAATTTGAAGGAACCGAGAGTTATTTGCTTGAGTTACAGCTGTTATCTGAATTTTCTATGGAGAATTATGCTAGGAATGCATGAAATATGTTTATCTCTGATCTTATAGGATATTTATCTGCAAAACTAGTAAAAACATTGGTAATCTTGGCTGGAAATGTCAAAGAAACCTGCTGGAACCTGTTGGGATGGACCGAGAGAGAGAAATGGTGAAATTTTCCAGTTTTCTCCATGGATTTTCGGGCTGTAAATTGCATATTGTTATTGTTCACACCTTATAATAATTTAATATTGACATGCATGTAACACTTGAAAGTTGAAAAGTAAGAAAAGATGAACTTTAAAGCAGGAACAAATCTGGAACATTAAGACAGCAAACTAGGAGGAAAGAAGAACACGATGCAACTTTGGTTATTTCTTGGAAATTTTGCTAGATGGTAACTGAAATCCATGATTTATGCCTTGTCTAATGTTTCTAGAGTGATGCATGTAAAGTTTAGAGCTGGTTTGTGTTTGTTTTATAGTTGGTTCACTTGCTGGAATTGCTCCAGCTTTGGCCAAGAGAAAAGGAGTTGGTTTTCCAACTTGTATCAGAAATTTTAGTAATTTGACCTGCAGAAATCCTGTTATGTGCTCATTCGTAACATATGTTCTGTTTTTGGTTCTAGTGAAAGTTGGTTGTTTAAGAGTGAAAACTTAAGGAACATTGTTGGAATTTTTAATGAGGGCCGAGGAGAGGGTAAGTAAGGGAAATTTCAGCTTTAACTCCCTAACTTTGGTTACTAATAAGTATATCCTTGCTTCATACATCTCTTAACATCTAAAACTAGACATGCATGAGGTACGCGTTGAGTTTTAATTTAGAAAAGACTAATTTAGGAGGAAACGGAAGAAGTGAACCTGGACAATTATTCTACCTTTAAGACTAAATCTTAACCTTAATTAATTTTGGTTTTAACTTGAGTTGCTCGGTAGATTTTATACAATATTATTGTGCTTGAACTTAGCTAAATTATACTAAAGTGAACGATATATGTACTTTGGGTATCTTCTAACGATTAAATTTGGTATAACCAACTTAGAATCCGGATTGGGGATGAAAGTAACTGCATTTAGTGACTATTCCTAGAATTATGCCATAATCATAGTACTTGAAATTTGTCTCAGGAACTACTAGTGGGTGTAAAAGCAATCTCGAGACCGAAGTGCAATATGTTTGACTAAGTGAGTGTTTCCACATTTGTGTGTTTAAATTGCCTATGTGTTACTTAAATGATGTTTGTATGATTATGCCAGTACTTTATTATGAAGTGTGTTTCAATTGTCCCTCGCCTTCTAAGTCGAGAGTGTACTTTATTGCACTCAACTTAGTTTGAGCTTGAAGGTTGATAATTGATCAAGTGTTATTGTAAGTGTGCATGACTGTAAGTCGTGTGTGTATTTTACCACACCGGCTGAACTGGGCCCCAAAACCCTTTGTTCAACGGACTATTCGAGTCAACAAAAGGGCTTGGTCGGATAGGATGGTAGCTTTGGGTAAGTGTATTAGTATGCTCGAGTATTACCACGGAGTAGCAGATTACTGATATTGATATGGCTATCTAAATAAGGGAAGTGTTTACTGTTTTTGAGGTTATAAGGAGGAGTTCGGCGGAGTGTGTAGTGCATTGAAGTGGCTCTAATGCGAGCACCGTATCCTTTCAAAAGTGATTGTTCAGTGAAGTATTCCTTACTTGCTTAATTTTGTTACTGGCTTATCTGGTTTAAGTGTTTATTGATTGTTGCTTGCACGGAAACCTCACTGGACGTAAGCTCATCCCCTCAGCTTTGTTTTCCTTACAGGAATTGAAGTTTGAAGAATGATCGAGTTGAATTAGGAAGTTGTTTTGGAAGATCCGTTAGTATGTATATATTGTAGTCATGGTTTCCTTTGTACCTTGAACTGGTCGAACCTTTCATCATGAGTTTGATGTGGTATTAAGAATGGATGTTTAGAATGTATATTTTGTTTCTTTTATTGGACAATTTTATGTTTCAAGTTGATGGGAGTTGCACTAGGAGTGAACAGTCAGTTGTTTAATGGAAATGTTATCTCCGAAGTTAATGAAAATAAATGAGTCCTGGCGAGAGTCAGACAGGCGAACCGCTAACTCCTAGGGTATGCCCTAGGAGAATGTGGGGCCGTCACACTAAACCTTATAAATATACACTTCGGCGCAAAATAAAAACTACTTGAATGTATAAAAAGTTTATCTCGCACCAAAAAGTATGTAATGACATAATTGGCCTTTTATTATTATTGAAAATAGAAATTTAGGTATCACACTTGTTTTACAATATGAATCTATAATATGAGTTGATTACTTAAATCCCTAGTGCACTGTCTGTGAGGACTCGAAATTTTTTTTATTTTATCTTATTTTACTGGCTTATTTGATTATTTATTCAACCGTTTTTTTCGAATAATTTATTTCAACCATTTTAAATTCATTTACATGGAACAATGC